CCCAGTATACAGTTCATTTTTCTCATATTCTATGCAAATACAATTCAGCCAGAATAAATTTCTTGAAGAGTTAAAAGGTTCTTTATCTTTCCTCTATATCTCAAAGAAAGAAAAAAAAAAAAAAAAAAAAAGCATTAACAGAACCAATTAGAAATCTGGTGTCTAATAAGCTTACAAAAACAGACAAGTGTTTTCTTTTAATTATATGGGAAAATAAAACATTTTTAAAGAATAACGTTTCTTTATCGTTGCAGCTAGTGCTTATATGGACGGAGTCTTCATCACGACAATATGGTCTATTGATCACTTGATGCATATTTTTCTCAGGAACCCCATTATTGATACTCTTTCCCTACATGCAACAAGTTAATGATGCTGAGTATACACGAAGAATAACAATTGTCACACTTTACATCCGGTCTTAAATCATAAGCATACACAAGAAGTTAAGTGCATTCATTCATAACAATTTTTTCATTTAAACTTTAAGTCTTCCGTAAATAAACCCACAAAAACTACGAAATAAAGATTCACCAATCAAGATATATCACTATTCATATGATAATTTTCTAGATTTTGAGGGGTTTTACAACACATTTTAGACACATGTCTTGCAAACTACAATGCAATTGCTGTAGCACTATCTGCAAACTTAAGAAATATTTATATACTTATACCTATCAAAAATCTACATGAACATTTATAAGAATAAGCACAATAGTTATCACTGCAAATAGTCTAATAAAGCCGCATTGATAAAACTGGTACCACTATTCTGAATTTAAAAATCTAGTAATAGGTACAAGTATCCTATAAAGAAAAAATATATCACTAACATATTCAAGTATATATTTATAGATTCTGTGAGATTAATCTGTTTAAAAGAATAATTTGAATTAAATATCTACACTGAATCAATTATTGTCTTCTCTTTGTCCAGTCATTTCTATCATCACCAAAGACTGTCACTATATTTATCGACAATCTTTGTCACTTTTATCCCAGCAATCCAGTTGAATTTATTGCTCTCCTTGGGTGAACAGAAAAACACAGTCATGCTGACTTTCCTAACTTTACACTGTCCAATGACAGTTTAGTCATTGTTATCTAGTTGCCTTCCAGTTGAAATAAGCTAGTAGTGGTAGCTAATATTGCATGGGTGCTCTTTATCAGTAGTATGGGTCTTGAAGATATTGAAATTTGTGTTAGACAACTTCATGCTTTATCCAACCTTTTAGATGTAGCCTTCCATCTATATTCCTGAATGCCATACTCATCACAGTGGCAATTTTTTTTGCAAGCACCATGTGACAACATATCAGGCTGGTAATCTCCTGGTTTGAGAAACTGAGGATGCCCACTTGTAATTTTGTTAATGATGATATCACTGATGCTGATGTGTATCCTCTATCTTATCTTTATACATTTCTATCACACTGTTCCTTCTAGAACAAGAAATTAACTAAATCTCTTAAAATTGTTCTAATACTGTATTGTTCTCTTCCTGATTATAAATAATCTAAACTAAATGACTAGTGAATCTGACTTATTCCAAGAAACAAAATAAAAATTAACCTCTATACATGGAATTGAATTCATCAGTTTAGTTCAGTCAAATGAGATTTGTAACAGATAATGTGTAGTATTTTATTATCTTATATTGACTGTGATTACCTACAGTATGCATTTGTCATTAATATACTTTCTATCAGGCACCATAACATGGGCAAACAATCAGCTGACACAATTCTACACGATATTTTTTTTTTTAGTAACTGAACTAAAAATGGCAACAAATCACTTGTCAAATCTATATCTGACTACATATCCCATATAACTTATCAATATGGTGTATTCAGCTCTGCAAATCATTTGGAGGAAGAAATTAATACAACTGACTAGAACAATAAAATACCTATCATAAACTAATATAACAGATTCATATCCTTTGAAAATTAATGTGAATGTTCTATTCACACACCATTGTGGCAAAAAAATCTTTTGCATAAGATCCATCAGCTTTTACTTTCACTGGCCCTAAAAAAATCAAATTCATCATCTTTATACTAATATATACGGTTAGACTATTACATATTTTGCTTAAAACTTAAACTAAAGTTATGGCCATGCTAAAGAGATCACCTGCTCAAACAAGCAATGCAATATAGGCAAAAACTAACAACAAAATATAATAAAAGCTCCTTGGGGGAGCCATCAGATAGATTGTATTAGTCCTGGGTGTTATAATTTTAGATTACAAACTGTTTATAATGCATTTCAATGATGATAATTTTATATAAAGCATGAGAACATACAATATGAGAGTATATTCCAGATTCTGCTTGATAGTAAATTTGATAAAAAGCCATTCCTTCAATTAATCCCTCTGCAGCAGACATGTTACAATATAAGCCTCACAGGTGGGGATATTTTTGACAAATCCAAATTTCTAGAAAACATATGAGGATATGTGCATCCAAAGATGTTTTCAGGCTTACTG